GATTTTATCCGCGGGTACGGATTTTTTTGACATCCTTAGTCATCGTAGAGAGAAGCAAAATTGAGTGGTCAAATGGGCGTCAAGGAGGGATTGAAGTTTGTCCACTAAAAAGTTGGGAGAACCCACGAAGTAGCATCCAGATCCTCTCATTATCATGATCTAATTGAACGTGAGCCTAATCCAACTCTAATGGTTTTACATGTAAATAATATAGTTGGGTTACACCTCCCATCTGAACTGACTATTACAGTTGGGTCAATTCCTCCTTATTTCTAACTAAGACCTTCAATGACGATGTTGGACTTTGTGATAAGCCTAGAGAGGTGGCAATATTTTCTTGAATGCAGTTGTGTGTACTGCCTTCGTCGAATAAAACACTCACGGATCTCTTAATGATGTGACCAAAATTCGAATTGTGTTTGTCACCACCAAGCATGATAAGGCATTAAGACTGAGTTGGGCCTCATGTCAAATCCAACCCGCTTGGATCCCTAACACTGGATTTGGTTCAGGTGGTGCCAAGTATGAATAAAGGTGTCCAGCAGAAACATCCTCACCAAGTTCATCATCTACAACAATAAGGAGGAAAAAATGAGTTGGAAAATGATGATTCCTTGTGGTGGTGTGGGCAATAAAAGTGATAATGAGCGTGATGAAATTGTAGAAGGAGTAGGATTATGGATTGAAGGGGGTTGTTGAGTTGACGGTGGTCAAAACACCATGGTAGGCGACCATTGAGATATGGGTCGCGGTTTGTGTGCTCAAACTGTTTCAATCATTCTTTTTTCGTGTAAATGAGTCAATTCAATTGCATGTGTCAAAGTCAAAGTTTGAAAAGCAACCATTTCTAGCGAATTTCTGGATGGAGGCCAGAAACAAAACAACTCAAAAGAAATGTCAATGGCAAGCCCTCCACACAGTTAGCCAATGATTCAAACTCATCGAGATAAATAGTAACATCGGAGGTTTAAGAGAGCTTGAACAACTTACCTCTTGGATCGTCGTTGGGCAAGGCAACAGGGCGGGATGGGGGCGGGTTTTGCCTCCCCGATCCCCGACCGGACCTTTTTAACCATCCCCGCCCTCGATCCCCACCGGGGTTAAAAATTAAATCTTCATCCCTGTCCTCGCTGAGTTTCGCGTTCCCCGTCCCCGTCTCATCCCGATCTATATTATTTTTAAAAAGACAATTACATTTATAATAAATTAATTTTACTATCTATTTTTTATATATAAATAAATATTTATAATTTTATAATTTATAATTATTATTAATTAAATATAAATTTTAATTTATTATATTTATATTAAAATATGTATGTAAAAGAAATATTTAATCATTTTTTATTTATAACATTATTATTATTATTATTATTATTATTATTATTATTATTATTATAACATTGTATTCAAATATTTGAATACTTATAACATTATTATTATAATACTGTATTCAAACATTTGATTATATATAAGTTAATTCATTTTGAAGTTGTCATTTAAATATATGAAATATATAGTTTATAAGAAAATATTTAATAAGTTAATTCTTATTTAATTAGTTCAAAGTAATAAAAGTTTAAATTATCAATTCCTTTTAATCCTTTAAAATACAATTCTTTTATTAAGTTTAAAAAATATGACATAATAAAACCTAATAAATATAAATTATAAATAAAATAATATTAGTTACTACTAAGATTTATGTAAAATATTTAGAAAAAGATAAAGAAGAAAAAAATTTTGTGTTCATCAAATTTGTTGGAAAGATTGAAGAAAAAAACAAATTGATGGCAGAGATTAAGGAAATGTGAACAACTCGAAAGGTAAGAGAGAATATAATAAATTAATTGATATAAAAGATTAAAAAAGATAAAAAAATTAAAAAGTGGGTAGAAGAAAAATAAAAATTGGTGAAATATAAAAAAATGACCTTATATGTAATAGAAAAAGAAAAGGAAATACTTTTAAAATATAAATATTTTAAAATTTAAATTTAAATATAAAGTCGGCGCAGGGACGGGTCAAGGTGGGGATTGCATTACCCATCCCTGCCCCCGCCTCCAGTCAACTCGGGTTTTCCCCGTCAAACTCGGGATGGAGACGGGTCGATCCCCACGGGTACGGGTTTAATTGTCATCCCTAATCGTCGTACACAGTGAAAGCAAAACAAGCTTCTAATGCCGCAACAAATTGTTCCCATGAGATCAATTGATCATTCTTGTGCAACCATTAATACCAAGCCAATGTTGGGCAATCAAGGTAAAAGGAAGCAACGATGATGCTATCACAAATAGAATCGAGACTGGACGATAAAATTATGTTTCTAAATGAAAGAAAAAAATTGAGTTATCATCAATATTTATTTTTAGGAAAATATCAAAAAAAAAAAACTTCAAAAGAAAAGAAAGTGGTCTGCGAAATAAAGGTTAGATCTGATATTCGATTATGTGTATAGAAAGTATTAATGCCCTACAACATTCGTTCTAAAAATGATTACCTTTAATTAAACGTGAAAAGTTAAGTATCTTAAAATTATCTATTTTATCCCTCAAAACTTATATTAAATGTTGCTACTCAAAATAAAAGATTATATATTTTTGGCTCGACAGAGATAATCTCTCTACTCCTATGTATCCTCGATTGCAATGGAGAATCGGAGTAATGCAGTTCTTTTTAAAAATATTTGTAAATAATTTATTTTGATTTATGTATTTGTGTTACTAAGTTAAAAGTATGTTTGAAATTATTTTAAAGTTGAATGTTTATGTAATAATCAAATTAGAAGTACATCTAAAGTGATTATCATTTTTATAATTTGAGTAATAATTAAATTGGAAGTGTATCCAAAGTAATCAATCATTAATATTTAAATATTTAAATTAATATATTTATAATTCCTATTCGGATTTAAAATGAATTTTTTAAATTATTTTATTATAATCAAATCAAAAGTATATTTGATGTGATTATTATAATTTTATAATAACTAAATTAGATGTGTATCCAAAGTGGTTAAACTTTTAGGAAATATTTTGTTAATGCTCTAATAACAATAATATTGTATATTTAATAATTCTATAAGATAATATTCAAGGAAATAAAAATGATAATTATTGGCAATATATTAATAGATATATACTAATTTAAATTAATTTTAAGGGAAGAAGTTGAATCATTTTTTATTTAAAATTTGAATAATAATAATAATAATAATAATAGTAATAACAATAAAAATAATTTTTTTGACTCATTACTATTTGCAACTTATTTTTGTCATGTCTCAATTCAACAAAATAAAACAAACAAACATTAGGCCCAAAAACTCATAAAATAAAAATCCTTTCATATTTGTGAGAGCAATGAGGGAGAGATTGATGGAAATGTCCTTACATTCCCAAGAGATGATTTTGATGATGATTCAAGTTAACTACATTCAAGTCAACACCATTCAAGATGAATTAAGGACAAGCTAAATTTATGATGTTGGTGAAAATGTGAAACATTTCCTTACATGCGCAAGATATGTTTTTGATAAAGATGATGATTCAAGCAAGTCCAAGATGATTCCTGAAGACTAGATAGAGTCTTAGAATACTGGATATGGAGGTACAAGTTGATGAAGTAATATTATGCATAAGCCTCCAAAGCACAAGTGTGATAAAATTCATAACATAATATTTTTCTCTGTCATAATTAATTACGATGCATCAGAAATGGAAAAATAATTTTCTCTATAATAATTAATTATACTGGTAATATAATCAATTATGGCAATTCAAATTTGAAAAATATATCCGTTTTAAAGAATAAATGTTTTTGAATACATCCTGATTTTCTCTATGATATTATTAATATCCAACGGCCATTTTCTGATGTTATTTTTCTATTTAATTAAGTTTTAATGAAAAATCAAAAACACACAATTACAGAATTCGAAAATACAATTTACATTCAATCAGTTTTGAGAAAAGAATTCTGAGCAAGGAAACAGAGATATTTTACACCTTTTGAGGAAACCTTCTTCTCTACTGTCTTCTGTGTTTTCATTGTTAATCACACTTGTTCTTGGATATTGGCATTCTACAGGCTTCTACAATTTGTTGTCTCCATTACCCAGGTGTGTATGTTCCTTCATCCTCTGTGTATTGGTGGCAAAGGAGGTGCTTTCATCCTTTGATTTGTTCAAAGGAGGTTTTCATCCCTAGTGTGATTCTAGGGAGGTGTTCATCCTTAGTGGGATTCTAAGGAGGTGTTTTTCATCCTTTAATTTGTTCAGAGGAGGTGTTCATCCCTAGTGGGATTCTAGGGAGGTGTTCATCCTTAGTGGGTTTCTAAGGAGGTGATTGTCTTTTTAATTAGTTTACTTTTTACTGGTTCTTCTGCTGAGTTGATTGTAATTTGTAAACTGAATTTGAAAGATAGTGAATTGGGAGTCACTCTTGTGTTAAGAGTTGACTGGGAACTGGATGTAGGGTTGGCTATACCCGAACCAGTATAAATCATTATGTACTTTTCTCTTTCCTTTATCTCTTTCTCTTTTCCTGATTATATTATCGCTTCCGCTTTATCTGTGTTTAAACAAATTATTGACTCACAAATAAATTTTTAATTTGACATCTATTTTAATTTATGCATCTATTCACCCCCCCTCTAGATGTCATTTGTCTAACAATTTGTTTACTATTTTAAACCTATTTTGTTATTTTCACCCATAAACTCAAATAGAATCTATTTTTTTTAATCTAACTTAGACAATTGGCACAAAAGTCTCCTATCAATTCGTTGGCCCAAAAGATAATTCGCTTTACTTTTCAAAGTCTATTTTTACTATTTTTAATCCCAGACAAATCTTGGGCCATCTCTCTTAACTCCACATCTCCTTCCTGAGCTCATATGCCTTTTTTTTAACCCTAATGCACCTAAACCTATTACTGAAGGAAAAAAAAAGGGGGCATCGCATGAGATGAGAGTGAGGGGAAGCGCAGTGTGGGTTGGAGATGCGGTCGTGGCCGCAGTGGTTTAGCGTTAGGGTTGGTGCAGTGAGGAGTGAAGAGATGACATGCACTGTGAGGGATGGTGTTGTGGGTGCAATGGTAGTTTGAGTTAAGGTAGGAGCTGGGTTTTGTGATGAGAGGTGGCTCATGGTGCTTATTCAGGGTTTAAAGGAAGCGACTAAGTTGCATTTAGAATGAGGGTGGTTCGATTGAGGTGACTTGTGGTAGCATGAGTGCCGACCGCAATGGCGATTTTGGCACAGGGGAAGAAAGGGTTCGTGATTTTGGGGAAAAATGTTAGTGGTCCATTTGGGCAATTTGCAGTGGCCTCACGATGGTGCTATGGTGATTAATAGTGGCTGGTTTCAGTGAGGGTAAAACAGAGGTGGTCGTGTTAGGGTTCCACCAGTGAGGGTGTAAGCTGCAGATCGTTAGGGCTCGCGGTCCATAGTGAAGGAGAGGGAGATAATGGTGAGGTCGTGGTTGGAGGAGAAATGAAGAGTATGAGAGGAAGGGAAGGAGGATGGAGGCGTTGCGATGGCTTTGCTTAGTGGTCGTCGGTGGTGAAGGTAAGTGGATTCTTATTTGTTTTTAATTTTTATTAGTTTTTTTTAATATATACAATTTGAGAATAATTGACTAGTAAATAGCAACAAATACTTCAAGAGGCGACAAATATTACAATAATGTAGAGAGTGGATTGGGAATATGTGTATGGGTTTCGCTGAAATAAGTGTTGATATTGATTGTTGATTGTGTATGGGTTTCGTTGAAATTAGTGTTGTTGTTGTTTGTGTTGTCAAGTTTATGTTGTTGGGTTTGTGCTTGTTATTGCTTTGTTTTATTCATTAATCCTCTTTTTGATGAGGTTATGTCTCAATTTATAGATGTTGTGATGTAAAACAAAATAAGGTGCAGAATTTTAAGAGGATAAGGTGAAAAATTTTAAGCAATAAAGTAAGCAAACCCAAGGAAAATTTTCACTGGACATTAAAATAGTTTCTTATCTAGATGTGAAGGTTCATTTCCAAAGATTATGGAGGGAGGAGGAGATGGAATGAAACTAGAAAAGAATAAAGACAAGGGTTGAAAAAATGTACCAACCCCTTGGATAAATAAATAGAGTGAAGAAATAAAGAAGAAAAGATGAAGAGAAGAAAAGTGTGATGGTGGTGGAGGGTTGGCACACCACTAGGAGATGAACGACCCTAGATAAGTGGTGGTTGTCACCACTTGAATCAAGGTTCAAGATAAGACACTCAAAAAGATGGAACACTCTAAGAAACCTCACAAACTCTCATAAATGTTCAACCTAATTACATGAGGGGAAGCCTTCTATCTATATAGACTTTTGGGGGAGGGACCTAGATGGAATTACAAAAAGAGATATAAACTTAACCTAAACCTAAAGGCTAGAGTCTCCATGGTCCAAATATGTCAAATTCGTCCTAGCCCACCAAAAATACATCTAAGGGTGTGGATAACATGAAAAAAGAAGTGTGCTTCCTTTTGGGTTGTCCCAGGTCAATCATACCCGTAAGCCGAGTTTCTTCCTCTTTAAAAAGGGGTGTAGGACATGAAAAATGAGTGTTTTACACCTTTGGGCTGCCGACACATGTATCCTATATATCCAAGCCCTCTTTTCCAACAAAAAGAGGTGGTATTCCTCAAAAAGGAGGTGCAAAAAGTGAGTTTATAAAAAGAAAATGAAAATAAGTAAAAAACATAGGAAAAAAATACTTAGTAAATTAAAATGAAGGGTGAGGAGGATGTCTCCCTTTTAGTCATGCTTCTAGTAATCCTCCTAGGGATTACCTCTTCCGTCTCCGAGGCAACTAGGGACTCATCATGTTGGTGGTGGCTAAAGCAGATGTTGGTGTGTAGCATGAAAATGGGACTGGCTATCCCATGTGCAAAGGAAAAATATGTTTTTTCCCCTTTTTTTGTTTTTTAATTTGGGTTTATTTGGAATTTTTCATTTATTTTATCTATTTTGTAGGAAAAATGAGGTGTTTACAGTTTGCCTCTTTAATTAAATTTTATCATATAATTTGAACTTGAATTTGTATTATCGTAATAAAATATGTGAACACCGAAGTAGTGAAAATTTAACAATTTGGACAAATACAAAAAATTATTAGAAAAACAATAGATAATTATTAAAAGAGCAATATAAAATGTGATTTGAAATGTTAAAAAAATGTGATTTGAAATGTTGAAAATTTAGAAGTAGACTCGGGGATTCAATATAAAATTGTGATTTGAAATCTTGAGATCTTAAAAATTTAGAAGTGGGCTTGGAGATCCAATATAAAACTGTGATTTAAAATGTTTAAAATTTTAGAAGTGAGCTCGGAGATTCAATATAAAATTGTGATTTGAAATGTTAAAAATTTAAAAGTGGGCTCGAAGACCAAATATAAAATTGTGATTTCAAATGTTAAAAATTTAGAAGTGGGCTCGAAGACCAAATATAAAAATGTGATTTGAAATGTTGAAAATTTAAAAATGGACTCAAAAACCCAATATAAAACTTGTGATTTGAAATATTGAAAATTTAGAAATGGGTCCAGAGATCCAATATAAAACTTCTAATTTTAAAATGTTGAAAATTTAGAAGTGGGCTCGGGGACCCATTGATTTAAAATACTGAAAATTTGAAAACGGGCTCGGGGACCTCAAGGACATGATATAAAGCTATGTTTTGAGATGTTAAAAACTTAAAAATGGGCTCAGAGACCTAATGCGAAGAACTTTGTAGTGCATATAATTTAAACATTAAAAGTAAGGGTATAGGGACCCAACAACATGAATATTTTGTGCATAATGACTCTTCAACTATTGACATGATTACTAATAACCATAGGCACTGAGACTCAGTATTAAAATTGTCTAGGTAGACATATATTGAATGGAATAAAGGTTAAATTGATTATTTATGCATGAGTAGAAATTTTATCTTTAAGGGAGCTTCCAAATCATCATAATTTTCATCGGCTTCATAAATGGGATGAACAAAATTGTAGCATGAGGTAATAACATTGTTATTTTCAATGTAGTTATTTTCATATCTACAATTGGTATTAATATAAAATAAATGAAGAGGAAAAATAAAGGAATATTAGAAAGGAAAGGAATTGATTATGAAGAGAGATGAATAGTTGAAAATGTATTTCATTCATTTGTCATATACCAAAAAGGTTACATACAAGCCTTTTCTAAAGGGTAGTACAAACTATTGGGCATAATGTTAAAGATTGCATTAACATTACTTTGAATTATAAACCATAGGGCATTCAACGATCTTTCAATTGCAAAGCTCATCATGTGAGACCAAATTTGCAAAATTATCAACATTTTGGTCTTCATTAGTCATGGTCACTTCATCCATATGCTCTAACCCTCCATGTCAAAAACTCTAATAGAGGTCACAAATGAAAATTCTCTCAGTTTTTGGTTCTCAATTGTCCAACCGAACTAATCTTTTCTTCATATTCTCTTTTGCCAACCTTCTTTTGTCAGCCTTAGTGGGTTTATAGCCCAAACCACACCTATTTTTGTTTTCTAGTAACTCTAACGGCTTTGCAACTCCATTGGAAGTGTTTTCCTAGTGTACATCCTTCTTTCAGTATGATTTTGGGTATCATCGTCTTTGTCCTTGACAAGTATGAATTCTTAATCAACAAATTTCACATAAGTAGTACAAATTACTTATAGGGACTGAAAAAATGTTTCAAGAGCTTCTTCTGCTTCAATATAACGAGTTGATATAGGGAAACTTATTAACACATCTTCTTCACTAGAAATTATCACAAGTTTGTCATCTACCACAAACTCCAACTTTTGATGTAAAGTTAAAGGCATCACCCTAACTAAAAGGATCCATGATCTCCCTAACAAACAAGTATATGTTAGTCTGATATCCATAATTTGAAAATTTATCTCAAAAGTGAAAGGACCAACCTGAATGGGAATATCAATTTCTCTCATAACCTCCCTGCGGAATCCATCAACAATTCTTCCAATCATAGAGCTTGGTTTCATGTGAGTTCCATCATAAGTTAGTCAATCTAATATAGATTTAGGCATTATATTTAATGAAGATCCATTGTTAATCAATACTCTAGCTATAATATGATCCATACACCTTACCGAGATGTGCAAAGCTTTATTATGCTCTCTCCCGTCAACAGGAATTTCATCATCAGTGAAGGTAAGGTAATTATGAGCAGTGATATTGCCAATAATACCTTCAAACTTGTCCAGTGTGATGTCATGGGTCACATGTGCTTCATTCAAGATCTTCATTAATAATTTTCTATGACTTTCAGAGTTCATTAACAGAGTTAGACAGGATACCCTTGCTAGAGTAGGATTCAATTGGTCAATAAGTTTGTACTCGCTCTGTCTAATGAACTTAAGAAACTTTTGTGGCTTCATCATTCAATATTTTCTTTGCCTCTTCCTTCCCCTGAGAAACCTTATCATCAGTGAACTCTCTTCCTCTTTCAGTCTCTTTCTCCTCAACTTTATTCTCTCTTGTTGATGAATTCTTTTACTTCGTCTTTTTTTAAATCCTTGGGAGTATATATTCTTTCACTACCCGTTATTTCCCTTACTCCTATCACATTTTCAACGTGAGATTCTTTTCCCCCTTCTCTCGTAGTATGAATCTTCACATCATAATTCTATGGTACTGGTTTGCTATCTCTGTAAGGAAAAGGAGTCAGAACTTGCACAACAATAAGTTTGAGGGCCAGAGACGAAAAAAATGACACATTCTTAGAAAAATGAATTATTAATGGTTTGAGAGGCATAACACTTTGTCTCTCTAGAGGATGAACTTATTTGCACTAAGGTTGAGTCCATTAAACTTTGCAATAAATGTTTAAACTTGTCATGTCTATTAACTGACTATTTTCCCTCACAATAGGAATCACCTGCTCCTTCTTTAAAGGTTTGACTTTCAATCAACTTCAATTTGCATAATTATGAAAAGATGACATTCATGGAGGTTTTGACTTCTTCCACCTTCTCAATAAGTTGATTAGGTTCTTCATCAATGGCATTTATTGTTGCACCTCTATGACTTGGAAGCGGATTATTAGCAACATTTGAACTTTCTTCTTTAAAACGCAATAATCTTTCATCGATTAAGTTTTGTACTTTATGTTTCAAACCCTAACATCTCTTTATTGAATGCCTAATACTACTAGCATGGTAATCACATTTGACATTTGGATCATAACCTTTTGGGTACGGTGACTCAACAAGTTTCAAAGGGAAGGGAGCACTTAAGGAATTGTTGGTCAAATGTAGGAGGAGTTCAATCTAAGTCATAGGGATGACAACGAGTGTTGTTCATTGATTATTTGCCTGCTTTTGGGTATTACTCGCATTCTAGTAAGGAGAGGTTAGTTGGCTTGTTTGAGGGATTGAAGGTGGCGAGACACGTGGTGGGGGTGGTCGATGGATCATCCTAGGTTAGATGGGTTGCTGATATGGTGGATGAGAAATTGTTGATACTTGAGGATTATACATGAATTGGGAT